ACACCTCTCCTTGATATGCCACCCTTATTTCCTCATCAAAACTTTTCATAAAACAATTCCAAATAGACCRCARCYAWTGGAATTATTATTAATCCAAAATCATTTATATCAAATCTTCATTTTATGATAAAATAACAATTTCTATCATTTAAACACAAGGCACAACTCAAATCCGGTCAACCTAGGCTTGGCTAGACTTCATCTCCGGTCAAGTCTTAGCCGGTTTACCAAATCATTCAGACAACTTATCGCCCAAGGTTGTCCGATTTAACACTTGGAATAAATTCTAACACCTTTGTCCGGATAACAAGTCCGGACAATACATCGTTCAAAGATTGACCGATTTAAAATAATCATGTCACCACATGATCGTATTCCTACTTCTCAGTTCAAAGTGTTAACCATTCTTATCAATCATAACCCGCTTGACACTTAACCGATTTAAGACTAAACCGTTCAACACCTGAGCGATTTAAGGCTTAATTGCCCAACCCTTGACCGATTTATAAATAATCCGGACAAGCTTTGTCCGATTTAAACTTAATCCGATCAACCTTTACCCGGATAAAACCGTTAAGCAAATAACTGATTTCTTTCTAATAATAAATAACATTTAAGTAAAGCCAGTAACAATTTTTATGCAAAAAGGTTTAGAAATCACTCACCTTAACAAGCCTTTTGAAAATAGCCTTCTTGAAATCAGACACTTACAATCCGGTCAACTTCCTTAATCTTTAAATCGCTCAAATTTTTAAAAAGGCAAGAAGAGAAATATGGAGGCGTCAACCTCCTTTTGTACTTTCTAAAATTGGAAGGTCGGCTAAACAGCCCCCTTCCCATGCTAACTCATCTCATGCACATGCATACATCCACACACCATGCATTCATAATATGCATGTGTGTATAATCATACATATATATATATATACCTATGCATATATTCACATATACCATATATATATATATATACATATATATCCAGTTAATACACAAATTCACATACTAGCATGATCAAACGTATCAATTTATCATGCTATCACGTAATCATTTAATAAAATAATCACACATTAATTACCTTGGGTGATAACCAGGATCCAGTTATCACAATTTCTTTCTATAGCGATTAAATATACATAATGATTTAATTTATTTGACCTTTTTACCTCTAGTCCAATGGTGTGAACTTAATTGGTTTAATTCTTTTGTATTTTTTTTTTGAACATTCACCCGTACAGAGTTTGGGTCAGCTTATTGTTAATGTTCAGCTTATTGCTAATGTTTGTATTTGACTAATAAAGTTATAAGGATTACTACCTAAGGATTTTAAATGATTACATTCTATCAAACATTCTCTTTTAAATGCTTCAAACATAGCTTTTGTAATTTCTCCTTAAAAATGTTTCCAGATATCTATACGTCTCTTCAGCTTCTGATAACCCTCAATTTTGAAGTTATATTACCTTTTATAAACCCTTTTTGACCTTTTAATACCCATTTGATCTTTTCACTCCTTCCTTCGTCTAAATTGTTATAAAGGTAAGAAAAGTTGGAAAACTGGAATTTGTGTGTTGGTCTGCCATTGTGGCCACAAATGTCACCACTGTTGTGGCAGTGACCTTAAAGATCAAGCAACGATTTTTATTGCAAAATGGTGAAATCTAGAGATGGCTATGTCATGAGTCAAACCTGAAGTAATGAAAGAGGAGGAGATGTGGACAAAGAGAGTCAAGACAAAGGGAGTAAAAAGACAACTTTTGAGAGGTCACTTTCTTCTCTCTTAAGTCACTTTCAACTTCTCTCTTCTCTTCTACCTATATAAAGGAGCTTAGATAAACATCTTGGAGCATACTTGGATGTGGAGTATATGTTGAAAAGTAATTCTTCACTGTAATCTTGTATTCCTTTTGGTTAAAGCTAAGTTGTAATTTACTTTCTAGTATTTTTATTTTTGTACCATCATTGCGATATTTTTTGCCATAGTGTCGACTTTATCTTAATGCAGTTTTTGTAAGTGATTATTCTTATACTATGTCTTTTCTTTTAAACACGAGATAACCCTCCCTGGGTAGGGATGTAAACCAAACCTCAGAGATAGTATATAACACTTAGGTGTTATCATATTTTGCTAACTTTTTGGTTTGGTCACTCAAATTGAAGCTTTAACTAAAATTGGAAAGTCAATCACTTATATATGTTATATTAGATCTTTGACCCAAATATGGGTGGATTCAAAGTACGGCTTGAATGATGTAATGAGGGTTGAGAAAATCTTCAACAATCACATAGAGATATGGGTTTTTACATAATTCATTATGGTTCAGGATGTCGGTCGAGTTGGCCTGTCATAGAAATATGTGCATCTCTCCATACCGGTGGAACTTAAATTTTCGAGATCTACTTAGTAAAATTGGCAAACCGAAAGTTCGCACTTGTGGTCACTTTATGACTGAACCTGGCAACATCCCAACATTTTACTTTCAAGAGAAAGAAATCGTGAAAGGTTTTTGTATGGTTCGTTGTTTCAACCATATAGTTACAACCGAACTCTTAGGAAAAAGCTTGCACCCATACTCGCTTTTTATTACTTGTTAGATCATCAAATCATTATAAAAGCTGAATTTTTTTGTAAAACCCAAATTTTCACTGGAAGTTTGTGGAAATCTCATATTCTTAGAAAAAACCAGTCACTATGATGCGATCTTGGTACTTCACAGTTGAAGACAAACATAGTAATTAGGATGCACTTATACCACTATTATGCCATATTTGTGTGTATATATTTAGCTATCAAGTTTTGGCCTTGCTGTCGAGGACTGACGTGATTTTTCATCCTAAGATATTGGTTTTTACTCGAGCCAGATTCACGTGTTCTATTTAGAACTTTTTCGTGTTGTATGCCATGATTACAACACAGTGAACTTTTTTCTCTAGATCTAGAAATTGAAAGAACTGGTAGGGGATATCGAAGAGGTAGAAGAGAATACCTGAAATCTCCTCTTATTAACACTATATGTGACGTTGGAGAAGGACCAAACCCTAAAAATCAACTACCACCAATTATGCAAAATACGGTGAAAATTCCGATGACATGGAAAGAGGAATACGAAACTATGCAACACCCGAATTTGATCAATTAAATTCAGGGATTCTTAGACCAAGCAACATCGCATTAGACTTTGAGTTAAAACTGATAATCTTCCATATGATTCAAGCAATAGGTCAATTTGGTGGATTACTATAGGAAGATCCACACTCGTTTGAAATCATTTTTAGAAATTGCGAACTCTTTCAAATCATTACAATGAATCATTACAGCTAACGATCTTCACTTTTCCACTAAGGGATGGAGCTAAAGCCTAACTAAACTCTCAACCACCCCATTCTATAGCTACTTGGGCCAATCTTGCTGAGAAATTTCTGAAGAAAATACTTCCCTCCGACGAGGAATGTGAAATTCAGAAATGAAATTTTCTGTTTCAGCAAGGGGTTGATGAAACATTTTCATATGCTTGGGAGAGATTCAAGGAACTTCTAAGGAAGTGCCTATATGATGGAATCCCCTATTGAATCTAGTTGGAGACATTTTATAATGGAATTTCCATTTTTGTTGAAAGTGTCCTTGATGCTATAGTCGGTGGATCTTTTACTGCTAGGACATATAACGAGGGGTACAATATTCTCGAGAAGGTTGCCAACAACAATACTGAATGGCCGAACCCCCATTCACTTTTTACCAAGAATGTATCGGGAGCTCCATGGTGTAGATGTAGGGTTTCAATGGAATCACATAAATGCAACAAAGATAATATAAACATAAAAACATAAAACTAAAGTAATTGTGAAACTCTTTAAAGCCCGGATCCAAAGCATATGTAGTAAGGACAATAATCAACTATTGGGTGTTTCAAGAAAGCTACCTTAACAATTGATGACGAGAAGGTTGGAGCATAAGAGACGAACGTATGTCTGCTCTACCCGTATCCACACGTGAATATGCTTCAATGCTGAACCGGTTGCTAGCTCGTTAAACCAAGAACCACACAAGAGAAATTGATTCCCTTATGTGTCTGTATGTCTCCAAGGAGAGGAAAGGAAGGGATGAGGCAAAAGTTATTTCCTTAAACCCTAAACATAACAATATATAAATACTCTCTTCTTTCCATACATGGGCCATGCCTCATTTATTTAACAAATTTTTAGCACTAAGGCCTCAATAACTTAATTAATCATTTACCTAATAGTCAATTATCTTTTAGTATAATATCCGATTCTTTTAATTATTTATTTCGTATAAAGTTTAGAATTTTTTTTTAAATCAACATTCAAGCAATAGAAGCTCGTATATGTTGCTTCTAGTATTGTACCGGATTAATTTGTTATGAAAATGGTATACTGGGCGTTAAACATATGTGAACCAATTTGATTTAGGACTAAGAATGTGAAGAATTCTCTAATTGGGGTTAAAATTGAAATAAGTGGAACTTGAGGGGTTAATTATGTAAGTTTGACAAATATAAAAAGATGGAAATTTATATCTTTTATTCATTTTTTCAGCTCTAGACTTCAAGAAATCGGTTCCTTCACCTCTTCCTTCATCTCTTGTTTCAATCTCAAATTCATAGGAAGATCAAGCTATGGATTGAAGATTTTGTAGGTTTGAGTCATAATCTTTGAGGTATGTATCTAGTAATCTCCATTTTTTTTGGAAGTTGCTTACATGCTCTTTTATAGATTAGAGTTTTGATTTGGGATTAGTATACATATTTTTGGATGAAAAATGTGAGTTTTGGTTTGTTGATTTTTAATAGATAAAGTCTTGAGGTATTTCATAGTAGAATCTTGAATTTGATTATGTTTTTGTGTTAGAAATATTAGATTGGAAGTTTGATTAGTTTTGGTTAATCCATTTCTAATCTGTCGCTAAGCGTCGGACTAGCGACGAACACGTGGCATTCCTTAATTTGATGCTAATTAGTGAGGAATTTTTTTTATTTTCTCATTTATATGTGTACGTGTATGTGTTTGTGTTATATGTGTATATATATATATATATATATATGTGTGTGTGTGTTATATCTATACATGTGTATGTGTTATATTATCTGTTGGTCCGTGTTATACATAAGTATACATGATGTGTATGTGTCTGTTGGTTGCTAACCATGATTTGATCTATGTATATATTGTTGTAGATATGTGTATATGTGTTGTATATATGTTTATATGCATGTGTATATGTGAATATATAGATAATGTGTATGTGTGTGTTGTATATGTGTTATATATGTATATATACATGTATCTGTATATGTGAATGCATAGATAATAATGTGTATGTTTGTGTTTTTTGGTAATTGCATACAAATAGAAAATAAGTAACCATTGGTGTTGGCCTTAATAAGTCATAAAGGGTTTTATTGGCTTATAATGGATCTTAATGGGTCTTAATGAGCTATTGAGGGTCTTAGTGGTCTTATCGAATCTAATAGACATCACATGCATATATATTGGGTCTTAGTGGACTTTAATGGATCAATTACGCTTTAATGAGTTTTATTAGGCTTTAATCCGTTTTATTGTGTTTTAATAGGCTATATTGGGATTTAATGAGCTATATTGGGTTGTAATGTATATCACTAAACTGTAATGGATCTATTGGGTTTTATTTGATTTTATTGGGTTTTAAAGGGTTTTATTGGGCTTTAATGAACTTATTGAGCTTTATTGGGAATTATTCAGCTTTATTGGGTTTTAATGGATTATATTGGGCTTTAATGGATTTTAGTAGACTTTAATGGGTCAATTGGGCCTTAATGGATCTTAGTAGACTGTAATAGATCTATTGGATTCTAAAGGGTTCCATTGGATTTTAATAAATCTATTAGACTTTATTGGACTTTATTTAGTTTTATTGGGTTTTAATGTGTTTTTATTGGAATTCAATGAGTTTTATTGGGATTTAATCCCTGACATTAGGCTTTAATGGGTTTCTTAGGTTTTAATGTGTTATATTGGGGTTTAATTGATCTTAATGGACCGTGATAGATCTATTGTGCTTTATTCGGTTTTATTGGGTTTTATTGGTTTTTGTTGGGTTATATCGGTTAATTAATTTTGTATTAATTTAAATTAATCCGTTCTTTAATAATTTATAATTAAAGATTATTTATTATTTTGTTATTTACTAATTAACTTTTTAATAAATTACTAAATAATGAATATCTAATAATTAATTAAGCGATTTTAAATAATAATAATAATAATTTAATAAACTTAATGAAAAGAATTAAAACATTGGTTTCAGCGATGGAATTTTCCTCGGAAATTCGTCTATGATTTTAGAAAGTTTTGATAGAAAATCGGGCGAACGATTAACCCTAGCCCCAAATCGTACGATTAACCCTAAATCGATCCGTTTCTACCGAGTGGAGAAAGAAGACAAGTTTCACCGGCGTCGACCACCACCGTCGTCGCCACCGTTTTGTTGCCACTATGCCTTCGACACTACCGCCTCCCTATTACCACCTGCATTGGATATGTTTGATTTATATCTGTTAAGCTGCTGAAATGTCTACAAATATAAGCTCACTGGTTTTTGTTTTGGTAAACCATACGATCGATCTCAAGATCTTAAGATTTCGTCACAACATAGTTAAGACCCCAACATCCCCTCCACCTGATGAGGCATCTCTTTGGAAGCAGAGCATCGGAGGATGGAAGAAGGTCCGTCTTTTTGGTTTAGAGATCTTCCAGGATCCCTATTATGCTATGACCAGTCAATGTAGGAGAAGCGGTAGGAGATTGTAGAATGTCTCAAGTTGAATACAGTAAGGAATTCCATGGTAAGGGCATTTTCTTAATAGCTATTTGAACCTCTCTTATGCATCAGTAACAACTTCATTCTCCAATTGTTTAAAAAGACAAATTTCATTCTTGACTTAGCGTTCCTGGTGGGTGGAAAATATTTTCACAAAAAAATTCCATCCTTATTGTTCCATGATGGTACAGTGCCTGGTGGTAATGAATTCAATCATGACTTTGACCGATCCCATAAAGAAAATGAAAACAAAGTAAGTCTCAGAGCGTCGTTAGGCACTTCCGAATCATGAAAGAATTAATGATTTCCATAAAAGATTTTAAATGTGAGTTCAGATCTTCCGATGATAATCCAACAAATTTTCCAATTGTTTGCAACATATGGAACATGATGGGTTTTAGCTCAAAATGGAGGGTTGTCATATAAGGTCTAACTATCCCCGAGTTCAATTGTTCAAAATCAGGGATAGCATAGTCCATGATTCTTCCATTTTTAAAATTTGAAAGATTTATATTTGGAGCTTGAACCCTTGGTTGATCATTATTTTCAGATTTTGTGTCATCATTTACATCATCTTGATTTAGTAGACCTGGTTGAAAAGGGTGTTTTGGTGGATTTTCAAAAAGTGGCAGTGGTGGCGGTGGGTTTTCAAGAAGTGGGGGAAGTAACGTGTGACATTCGGTCATTTCTGAGCCTTAGGTTAGCACTTTATAGATCCTATATTTAGAATTATAAATTTATCAGGATCTAGTCATGGTGGTTAGAGTACATCTGATTTAGTTCCCAAGTGTAGCTTGGAAGATCACGCCTCAGCAGACAACTGATAAAGTTAACTTGTGTAATGCCAAATATTTTAGAAACGTTCCAAATAAAATAAAGTTGATATTATAAACTTTTAAAAATTTAAAATACAAAAGTCTCATTTGAATGTCCACATAATTTATTAAAAGACGGAGTTTTGAATTTAGTAAGTCATTTTATTAATATTTGGGTAAAATTATAGTGGGTTTATTCTTATTTGGAAAAATAAAAAGTTTTATTGGGTTTGGGCCTTGAAGGGCCAGCCCATTTCCTTCTTTAAAAATCCTCATATAAATACTCCACTCCTTTTGAAAAACTCTCATTTTCCAAAATATCGTTAGCTTCAAAATCTTTCATCTCTCTAAAAATCAATCACCCTCCAGCCGATTCCATCATCAAGCAAGCTTAGGAATTCTGTCAATCTTGAAGATTCCCAAGATTACTAGAAAATGGTATGATACTAGTTATCTTACTTTTGCAAATCATTAAAAGTCTTTATCCTTCTTCTCCTACATCTCGATTTTTGCAACAAATTTCTGGAAAGTATGAGGGGGGAGATTATGCGTCCCAGACATGAAAATGTCTTCAAATGGACGATAATCTATGATCCATATTCTCATATCTTTACTAAAGTAGGGGAAAAATCTTTTGCATATAGAGTTTATTCATGAAAGGTATACTTCGGAGTATGATAGGTTCTTGCATGTATCTTTAATCTACCCTATCTCCCTCAAAAACTCAATAGAATCGGGAAATAATCTTTCTGGAGATTTTACTTATTTTTGCTATCTTGAAAGTGGTGTTAAAATTCTTGAAAAATGATGAGTTTAGACCCCAAAAAGGCTGTCACTCGTAGAATGTGCAATCTGTTTTGGGGGTTGTATAACTCGAGATTGTAGGATATTAATGAGGGACTTAAACCCACTCAAATTTCTTGGTATTTGAAAAATGTCGGCTTAGCTCATGATTTGGAATGATGTAAAAAGTGGACCTAAAAATGACTTTTGAAAGGTTCTACTTTTAGTGATTGGTAAAACCCAAAAATATTTGGAACATAATGTATAATCTGTCCAAAAGTCAGCTTTTGAGTAAAGGATTTCGATTTCTTTTAATATATAATTTTTGGGCTATTCTTAAAATAAATAATAAAATATCAACTTTAATTTATGAAAACTCGATGGCATTGCATGGGATGCAACCTGACTTTATCTTTGTCATGAACCCATAAGTGATTTTAGTTCTGGTTGTTGGTCTGTTTAGGAAGTTAGGGCGGGCGTTGAAAGCTTCAGTCGTCATCATCTTGGATATTCACCTCTAAACTTGTGAGTTCTCACGGCCCCACTTTTAATGCTTTGTTTATTGTTTTGGGGGRAAARCATGAGATTAAGCAAACTATGCATGTTATTTGTTTGAAACCATTGGACTAAAGAACTGTTTAGTCAAGCTTTGTTTAAAACCATTGGACTAAAGAACTGTTTAGTCAATCTTTGTTTGAAACCATTGGACTAAAGAACTGTTTAGTCAAGCTTTGTTTGATACCATCGGACTAAAGAACTGTTTAGTCAAATTTATTATGTCATATTGACTGTTATTGCACTTTGAAATAAATGCTAAATTGATGTGCTTGGGAGTATATTTTCCAAATAAAGTCCCCGTCCGTAAACGCTACTTGTTAACTCGGGTACATCCCCGAGCCGTGGTATTTTGGATAGCCGCTATTGTGTTGACAGTCCCACCCAAAAAGGGATGCACATTACCTATGTTTTCTTGTCTAATCATGTGGAATTTGGACCACCGCTGAATTAGTACATCTACGAACTGTGGGACCTAAGTAAGTGTACGGGCTACTTATGGTCGTTCGTAAAATAATGGGGCAAGTTGGTCAGGTAAGACTCAGTAACGTCTCAAGTTTTTACATCGTGAATGATTTACATTTATTAAGTGCAAAAGATTCGCATAAGTTTGCAAATATTTGGTTTATGCATTAAAATGTTTTATGCATGTGAAAACCCGTGAGCTCACCAACTCTTTGTAGTTGACTCGTTTTATGTTCCATGCTTTTCAGGTAGCAAGTAAGAATTGTAGTACCTTGGGAGCACACTCGTAGCAAAACTGATTAAGTTCGAAATGGAAGTTTTTGTAAAAGATGTATTTATCCAAAAATTTGGTTATGATATTAAACTCGTTTTATTTTGTAAAATTGGAAGGTGTTATTTAGTAATTGTTGTTGTGACTCGCTTGCCTGTTACATCTCGTGTTTCCGCTTTAGTGGGGTGTAACATAACGCCATATTGGGAGGGAGTAGAACAGAAAATGCTCTTTGTGCCCTTCTTATTTGGCGGAATGTTCTCTCAATATCGGGAAACTTCTTGCGATATATCCTTGGCATACACCACTTCCAGGTGACTAAACGGTGTTAGAAAAATCAAATCTTTTATTTTACTCTTAAAAAGAACTTTTAGCTTACCAATCCTTGATAACGACACCAAAAACTTGGTAGGAGGTTTGTACACAACCTTAGACATATCAAAGGAACCACAAACCAAGTTTACAATATGTTCCAATATCGTCTTTTTCAAGTAATAAAACGGTAAAGTATATGTTATCGTCCACGGAGATTGTAGTAAAATCATAATAAAAGTCTAATAAAAGAAACGGTTTTAGATGGCAATTTTGAAAACTTCGATGGGTTTGAATTAATAGCTTTAAATAACATAATAAATAAAGGTATCATGGGTGTAAGACTTGTGTCAGACATAAACACAAATTCCAGCAGACAATGTTGTAGCAATGATACAACATGCAATCAACTATAACGAATTCCACCATCTATTTTAAGGATATTACTTCTGGCCTTCCACCGTTGCATTGATACTATAGTTTTCAACCCATATTCTTATATGGTATCAGGACGAGTAATAGTGACAGACGGTATCCTTAAAATATATAGATTGACAAATTCCTTTGTCTAAAAATCACTTTTCGAGTAGATTCACGTATTATTCAAGTCGGTGTGATCTTAGTAGCTTATTCATGAGTCTATCATAACTTTAACATTTTGAAAAGCAACCAACCTGTCGAGAATAATCAATTTGAAAAATATTGATGACAAATTCTTTTATCAGTAACTCTTCCAAGTCTACTTCCCATATCATTCAGAATTGATGTGCATTCAATGGTTCATTCCTGAGTCCACGACATTTTAACACTTTCAAAACGATCAAATCGTTAAGAAGTGTTTTTACCTTTATAAAACTTGAAATAATGGAACATTGTTATTGGGAAACAACATCCACTTTCCTTCAGATTAAAATCTCATCTTTTGTCTCACCTAAGCTAATGGAATTAACTACTCATTACGGAAAGTAAATAACAAGAAATGTAAATGACAAAAAGTAAAGACATAAAAATAAATGACTGAATGTAAATAGCGGAAAGTAAATTTCAGGAAAGTAAAGAAAGTAAAAACATAATGCAATGTTATAGCAACAGAATGTAAAGTGCAAGAATATAAAAGAAGTTATTGAATTAACTTGAATTGAAGTACTAAGTCAGATGTAAACCAATTGGAATGATGAAAAGAAAAGTCCTAGGAGCCTCTATTTATACGAGGATAATGAAGGAAAAGACAACAATCTAACTTGAGTGTCAAAGTACATAAAGTCAAACATAAAGTACAAATGTACACTTTAAAGAAGTTATCCTAAGTACAACCAGGTACAACTCTCTAGAATCTTTGCAAAAAGTAGCCAAATATTATCCCCGGGTCACGGAAGCTTGACATCTAGAATCTTCATGGACGAATCCAAAAAATTTCCAAAAATTCGTATACAAGTAACACACAGCAGCATAATGCCGCAACATACAACAGCCTGAACACAAGTTCATGTTTAGCCATATTCCTTTGGTGCCAAAAAAGGTAAATCACTTAATTCAGCTCCATGGAACAACAAATAGAAAATAACATAATAAAAGAATTCAACGATGGGATGAAATGCAAAATAAACTACCTAAAAGTGAAGAATTAGGTGATTTACACATTGAATAATCAATGCACATCACTCCCTCACCTACTCCTATACCTCATCTCTCTTCTCACATAATTCTAACCAAGAGCTACATTAATGGTGGTTTGTTGCTGAAGATCCAAGACTTCATATATTGTTCTTATAAAGAACCAAGACCTGGTGATCAAGCTTCAATATCCTCACCATTTTCTAGTGTTTTGCCATTTTATAGATTTTCTCTAAAAACCTAGTATGTGAGTTTTAAATGTTTTGTAAAACTAGATACATGCTTAAATGTCTTTTTTGATGCTATT